TATATAAAAAGACAAAGGAAGTATTCTTTTATTTTCATTAAAAATATTTTAATAAACTACAAGAGGACCATTATGAGCTGTGGTGGGACGAATAAGATTCTTCAATCATATTAACATGAGGTCTCAACTGAGACATAAGATCCCTCGATCATATTAACAAATTCAAATTAATCGAGACTACAAAATGAATACCGAGCACATGATAAAATAAAATTAAAAAAAAACTACAAGAAAAAAACAATCTGATTGAGTTGTTCACATGATTCCAAAAGGATTGATCATATAAATATGCTACCTAACCTTAAACGCAACCGTAATATAATATTTAATTAAAAAGTAAGGTTGAGTGTTATTTTCTTTTAAGAATATTTAAACGAATAAATATCCCCACAAGAAAATATTTTAAAGTTGCATGGAAAATCCCTATAACTCAACAACCCAAAGCATTTTCCGCACCAGCGAATATTCGAGATATACACGTGATTGGTGATACCCTCTCAAAACAACTAATTTACATTACGACTAATTTACCCTTCAATTAATTTCGTCACTTTAATATTAATTATAGTATTAACCAGAATCAAATGTTAGATCTTTGAGGTTAATATAGTCAATTAGGTACTTTGGGAATAGCGGTCAGAGAAGTGGAGCCGCATGCCCAAGGCAAACAATCTCAAATCACAAGAGACTATTGGGTCCCACCCAGCTTTCTCTCTCTAAAACCCACTAAATGTTTTTATCAGTTTGTTTCTCACACTAAAAAAGTTTGGTTTAATTATCGCCGTCACCAGTCGAAGAATGCATTTTCTTCATCTTCTTCTTCTATAACAGCGGCTCTCTCTCCTCAGTTCTCACCAACAACAATGGATGCTCAATTTAGTTTATAATTTTCGTTATATATAGCTTTAAGTTATCAAAATCTGAAAAGCTTTTGTTCAATCCGGTGATGCTCGGAGTACTTTGTGCACGTCCTAAACCTTGGCTCTTTGCATCACTCTCACTATCTCACGCCCACGGCTCAGCGCCGGCGGCTTATAACCGACTAATTGGAACTCCGACAAAATCAGTATTAGTTGGAGGTTCGGATCAGTTACAGAGGCGACATCATTCTAGCCATTGCCGACTTGGAGCTTCTGTAAATCGAGGTGGCGCAGCTTCAATATGGCATGCGATTCTTCCCGCCGGGAGGAGGAATAAGGATGTAAAGAGGCGGAATACGGTGTTTCACCACCACCATTATGTATTGGCTAAGAAAGGTGAAGGTTCGTGGAATGTGGCGTGGGATACTAGGCCAGCGCGTTGGCTCCATAATCCTGACTCAGCTTGGCTCCTTTTTGGTGTATGCTCTTGCTTAGCAGCGCCATCTCTTGATTTACCTGATTCAAATTCTGAAGTTGTTGCTCCGATTGAGAACAAGTCCCAAGGCTTTAGTAGCAATACTGTAAATTCAGATGAGGTTGATCGAAACTCTGCCAACTATACAGTCACTGGTACTATAATCATTTCGCAACAACATATATTCATTTACTATTTTTGTTTTATTATTCATGGATTTCCAATTGCTGAATTTATTTTGTATCGATTATTCAATGTGAAAAAAAAGTAGCGTAGCCTTGCCATAGCCGGTAAAGTTGCCTCCACGTGACCATCGAGCTGGCTAAATAGCCTCTTGCATAAATGCAGCGTAAGACTGCATGTCTTGCCATTTCTCGGATCCCGCGCAGGGAGCTTAGTGCATCGGGCAGCCCTTTTTTATTCTATGTGAAAAAAATGGAATAAACTGATGAGGAGTGCATTATTTGGATTTAATTGAGAAACTAATTTGGAATTTGGTTGAGTTTTCCAGCTACTAAATTTCCAAGTTGCTCGGATAAATGACAAATTGAAAGGTGAATGTAACAGGGGTTCCAGCGGATGGGAGATGTCTATTTAGAGCGATAGCACACATGGCTTGTTTGAGAAATGGGGAAGGAGCTCCTGATGAGAATCGTCAGAGAGAACTTGCTGATGAATTAAGAGCTCAGGTATCATCAATTTCTCTCTTTTGCTTTGTCTTTTAAAAATATAGACACTGGAAACAAATTAGAATACTGTTTTTTGATTGCACAGGTTGTTGATGAGCTGTTAAAGAGGCGAAAAGAAGCTGAATGGTATCTTCTTTTTACTTATTTCATATTGGTTTCCTCTGGATATGCAGTTCCTATTGTTTATTATTATGTGATATTTTTATGTTACGTAGGTTTATTGAAGGGGATTTTGATGCATACGTAGAAAGAATTGAAAAGCCATACGTGTGGGGAGGAGAACCAGAGCTACTAATGGCTTCTCATGTTCTCAAGTGAGTGCTGCTTTTGTTTCATGATTGATCATTCATAAATCCAACTAAATATGGTTTTAAGGTGTTGATGTTGTATATTCACGATGAATGGCAGTAATGCTATAATGAGAGAAGTATGAAGAAAAGAAAATAAACTTTTGAAAAATAGAGTGAAAGCACATTATATTATGATTCTATGCAAGGTTTAGTAGTATAAGATAGCATGACATGGCCCTTCTAAAAAAAAGATAGCATGACATGGCTTGTTTATGCACTTAACAAGATCATTTCTGCTGTGGGATAATGGAAAAAGATGCTTAGGAGTTGTTAGTTATCTCCATTTTTATCCACTTTACCCTTGTTACTTTCAAGTTAAATCAAGTAAGAGGCTTGCTTTATTAAGTACTATACAATTTCCCATGGAACTATTTTGTTAGTTTACTATGTAAATTTGTCTATGCATGACACTGGTTAAGGCTTTGATTCTAGAATCTGTTGTCCAATTTTGTTAATATTTTTCCTGATTTTTTTGTTGCAGGTCCCCGATTTCTGTCTTTATGGTAGATAGAAGCTCAGGCAGTTTAATAAACATATCAAATTATGGCGAAGAATATAGGAAGGAGGGCGAAAATCCTATTAATGTCCTGTTTCATGGTTACGGTCACTATGACATATTGGAGACAATTTCAGAGAAGGGTCACCAGAACTTAGAAGAATAAAAGCAGGGTATGATGCCCTTAGACATAATCTTGATTAAATTTCATAAAGGTAGTTTGCAACGGATATCAACTTAAATTGATAAGAAGTTCAGCTAGCCAGTTAACAAACATCTTATTTTAGGTCCAGTCAATTTGTTGACATGACTTTCTTCAAAGCAGTAAGCTTGTTTAAATTTTGTAGATTCTCTTGTTCACTTTTCGTCTTTTCCAGGATATCAGTCGAAGTGATTAGTGTCAGGGCTTATTAATAGATATTTGTTTCACCAAAGTCCTTGGTATTTCCTTATTACCAGATAATTCTGGATGTACTTCCAGTTTTGCTCAGATGTCTAAATGGCTCCAGTCTGAAATATTGATTTATTAATAATGTGCAGCAATGGAAATGTAACACTGATTTCTCTCAATGTTCCAGACTTCACTTGTGGGATTACACTGAGTTTGTTGTTGTTTGTTGTTGTAATTCTCTCAATGTTGTTACTGAATCAGTGTTTGTCAAGTTATCACTATGATGGATATGTATGTGCACATAGCCTAGTCTGGATCTGCTTACTTTTGAGGCCTTATTCCAAATGGAACCGTTGGCTAGTTAAGCTTCTCTCGAGCAAGCTTCTCCCAAAAGGTTCATTTTTTTGTCTGTCTTTCTTATATAGCGCGACATAGACAATGAGGCTTGATATAGCCGATCACAATTTGCTTGGGATTGAGGCGTAACAGTTCTTGTTGCTTTTAGTCAATGGCCCTTTATGAGTTCCCTATATTCTCTAAAAGTAGTAGTCATTGACAGCCCCAAATTTCAGAATCACCTTAGTTGCTATGCCCTTGTGATGCTTATTTAACTAATTGAAAAGTTCTCCTCATGAGCCTTTTGTGGGAGATCAGTGGAATAGTGCAGATGTCAATTACTAGGAGGGATCTTATTTACCTGTCTTGATAGGTGAAGAGGTTTTTAAGGGTCCACTGTTTTGATTATTTTTACTTTTGATGACCTTGTTAAAATATGAAAGGACATAGATGTGCTGTTAAAAAAATATTTTTGAAGTGACTTTATGATTGAGGAAAGAAGGTTACAGGTTAAGATTTAGTACTGGATAGGTGAAGGATAAGGCAACCAACTCTTGTTCTAGTGGTTTTTCTGTTCTTGAAATATGTGACAGAATTATCCTAACGACGTTATGCGTTTTTGGCATAGTAAAAGGCAAACATATTATGTTTCTGTGTGAATTTCACTTGAAGGAACCAACCTTTCTGAAAGAGGAGTAGATGACGTAAAGATATGTGTTCTTGTCTGTTAAGCTTGTGTTCTCTTGCTTGGAATGAGTTCCATCTTTATCTCTCTCATTTGAGTCCAGCAGTTTCTTCTATAGATTTCATGATATTTGACCATTTTGCGAGACATAAAAGCCTCTGATTTTCTTCAATGAAGTTATTCTAGTGGCTCTAAAGGTGTTATTTCAGTGCCGTTGAAACATTTTTCATATATTTACCCAACAAAAAATGCACAGAGGAATTGGAGAAGTCTCAAAAGATGAAGCGAGAAAGGTGCCTTCAGCATATTTGAATATGCAGGTTATTCTAGTGCTGATATTTGAAAATGCAGATTCTTCTACTGTGTGAGAAAGGCGTGTTCATCATGTTTAATGAGTTTCACAACATATTACAAGGGAACTAAAAAAAAAAAAAAAAG